TCACCGCACGGTGACACAGGGGCTGAGGAGGGCTGAGCTCCGTTCTCACCAGGCGGTGAGGCCCGGCCGCGCACCCTGGAAGTCGCTGACGGTGAAGGAGCGGGAGCGCCGGCGCAGCGGGGCCCGGGCCGCGGGCCGGCCCTGCAGCAGGCTGCGGTAGGGCGCGGAGCTCAGGAAGCGGGGGTAGCTGTCCTGCTCCATCAGCCGGTACACCGTGCTCTGCGCCGCGTCGAAGGTGCTGCGCAGGGGCTGCCTCATGCTCTGGCTTGTGACTTCCCTGGTATGAAAGTCCAGATTCACCTGGAGAAGGAAAAGGATATTTGTTTAACGTACGTTCATGCATATCCAGTGTTATTATCTAGAGCACTGATACGGTACACTGGGAAAAGACTTTTCTGATAAGAGTGAAGCCTTAAATTTAAGCTTTCATATTTTCCAGATTCTGTACTGCATTAGTGTGTAACTCTGAACTTCATATAAAGTGGTAGCAAGTTCTCCTCACAGCTCAGTCACACAAAACAATCATTTTCCAGCCCCAGAACCAAGGACACGTTGCAGCTTCAGGCCCAAAAAGTGCAAACAGCAAATTGAGGAGAGCAGTCTGGGAGGACAGGACTGCATAACCTGGAGCTGGAATTGGACAATTAACCCCAATATGGAAATGGACCAAAACTTACAAAAGTGTGAAAACTCGTGACCCAGGGTCCATCTTGGGTGTAGCCACAGATGGGCTCTTGTACTGCCCAAGGTGTATCCTTTGAATGTCTTTTAATCAATACCTACTTTATTCCTTTAACTCTGTCCAGCCTCTGTTCTAGTAGCCTCTCAAGGCATCAAGGACCTTGAATCCCCCATACAACAGGATCACAGAATTGGTGTGTTCACTTTCACTGGTGGCTGTAAGAAAGTCTCCACAAATGTATCATTGATACCACGGAAAACTGGGGAAACAGAAGAAAAACTCTGATATTTCACTAAAAGTAACTTTCTAATAATGATTGCTGTATAGTCACAGCATCCCAGCTTCACAATACTGGACTATTACAGACCTGCCCTGCTGTCATGTAGGATTAAAGTAGAACTTGTTCTAATGAGATTACACTTGTGAATAGTTAAATTTTTTGGTTTCTGTGTAGTTTGGATAGTAGGAAGGTGAGAAAATTCTAATTTTTTTTTTATTTATTTAAATGTGTCTCTGGAGGCTTTAGACTGGGAAATCATATCAAAATTTCTATTTACTCCATGTGCTGCTGCATTCACCCTGGGAAATATTTAATAGTATAAGAATTTTAATTAAGTGGCAGGCACTCGTTCAAGCACGTTATTTTGAAAAATAAGATAGAATATATAAAATAATTGCTGACCCAATCAAAAAATAACTTTTATAATGTTTTTCTTTTCTTCCCTGAGAGGCGTCTGTCATTTCCATATAACTAGTTGGAACAAATAGTCTAGATCTAAGAGCTGAAAGGCAATTAGTGATCAGAGAAGGGTCTACTCATCCAAAATGTTATGATCCCATCAAACTGTAGGCTCAGAAATTTGTGTGTAAAAGTTCTGCTGTACAAGGAGTCAGAGGAGGTGTGCAAGCTCCAGAGCTGTGTGGTCTCAGCTGAACCCAAGGGAGGAAGTCACACCAAAGCCAAGTGTTCAAGGTGAACCACAGCACCCACACTGCCTGCACCAAACTCAAGTATGGCAGAGAAAGAAATTGCTATGTTACTATGACTTCCCTGCTCTGTCCTCTCCTCAGCTTTCTCCTGCTCATCTCTTTGCTTCCATCAGTCTCAAGCATTGACAGTGTCAGCCCTTGCTACCTGTCCAGGGCTACTTCTCCCCAAAGGCACACAGGAGGGAAAGGAATGGAAACGGACATAAGTCCTTAAAAGTAGGCATTTCCTAGGAAAAGCAGATCTGAATCCTAATGCAGTCTATGGGAATTGCAGGTGAAAACGGCACCACTTTGCAATCCTTTCACTAAAATGAGAATTACACCTTTTTCACCCTCATTACAAGGAAGCAGAAGTTAGTGTTTAACTTCTGCTATTCTGGCAAATAAAAAAATACAGATACTGGCAAGTGACACATTTGATCTGCTCAAATGTGATAGAATTACAGGAAACTGTAAGTCAAAAAGACCTACTCAATAGGCTGCTTGTGATTTCACTGAAAGGTTGATGATCTCCCAACCTGTTGATCTCCTTTTTAGGGCAGGCAAAAAATTACTTCTTTTGTTTGTTTATGAACCCTTTCTAACACACTCCAGTAAAATGAAGAAGTTGGAAATATGAAAACTTTTTTCATTCTTAGGGTACTAAAAAAAGGCCTTAGTTTTGGTGAAGATTGTCATACCAACATTGTTTTGTGCTGACAGTAACACACTGGATATATAATTGGAGGTGGAAGGGAGGAAAAGAGAGAGGGAGTCAATCAAGACAAGTCCATGCTCCTTCCAGAGTTTTGACTTTTATGAAAGTCTTCTTATGTCAGGAGATCACGAGATTAGCTCTTGAAGCTGCTTCTGGGCATGCACTTCTTAAAAGAAAGTTTCACCAGATGCAGTTGTGTCAATCAAACCCTGTATATAATGAGGTAGGTCTTTACCTCTTTGGGAGCATCTTTCTGTATGAATGTTTCAAAAATGGTCTTGGCTTTTGGCAGAAGTTCGTGTGCACTTTTACTTTTCTTGTAATCCTCGCAGGCTATCCAGAACTCAATATTCTCTTCGCTGAACTCAGTTTTCAGAAACTTTGTGAAGGCATCCAGCCCAGCTACAAAAGGGAAAGTTGAATTGCATTAAAAAATATACCCTTATCAGAGAGTCACTCTTTCAAAGAATCTGTGCAAGGTAGTAAAATATGTTTTGGTCCCTTAGTAATACATTACAGATAATTATCGTAAAATACATACATGTTTTAAAATAAGTGCAGTTTCTCCATTATGATCCTGCAACTCTCCTTACAGAATTCTCAGCATCAGTAAAAAAATGTTACCAAGATCTCATAAATTTAGAAAAAACATTTAGCAAAACATGTGGGAGCATGTGAAGTGGTGGACTTTATTCCAGATGAATATCAGTACAGGTTGATCAAAAGACTATTTGAATCATTGCTCATAAATAAACTACTCTTCAGCAGCAATTTAAAATGGATGGATTTCAGCATATCTATAATTTGCTTTATCCTGCTGTTGTTATGCTGACGATATTTTCTTTCCCAAGCATACTTAATCTGTGGAAGTAATGCAATTGTGTGGATGTGAATTGTTCAAGGAACAGATTTGAAAAGCCCACAGTGTCCAGCACTGTAGCTGAAACTTACGTGTGCCCCTCCAAAATTAAGGCAGGAACATATGTGCATTTGGTAATTATGGGAGAGCAGGGCCTCTCAAATGATGGCCTGCTTGGATCCAGTCACTGGCTTAGGAACAAACTGTCAGGAGTGACAAAGTCTTTTCTTGAATACATGGAGCATATGCAGTCAGAATATTTGAGCAATATTAAGATTAAATGTTCCTGTTTACTGAAGGGACTCTTTGCTGTCTGCTATATTACTTTGTTCAATAAAACACCAGAGACAAAAATGATTTTAAACTATTTTCACAAGTTGACAGCAAGCTATAGCCAAAGAAGACAAGGAGAGCAGGAAACACATGCTGCCATAAATGACCCATGATACCTAGTTTAGGTAACTGGCATGTCTATTCAGGGGCATACTGGATTTTATAATTTTCCATTGTTTACCATCAATTTTCCATTCTAACAGTCTGCATGGAGAGAGAAAAAACTACTGACCTTTCTCAGAAAGCAGTTTGTCAAAAGACTCTCCCCATTTCACTGCTTCTTCAGGAGACACACTGCTTAGGAAACAGAAAGGAGTTTTGAAGAATTGTTCATACTATGCATTTAGGAAGCTGTGTAACACACATCAGCTGTCACCATTGTGGCTCAGGACTGTTCCACAAATCCTTTGACTAGATCGCCTCACTAAGGGAGATCATTCTCTTAGGGGCTTCAGGAACATTTGCTCTAACTCTTCCTTGACATTTTTTTCCTGCAGAGTTATATTATTTTCTCTTTCTGTAAAAACATCAGAGCAGAGGCTTTTTGCTGTGGTATTTGTGTTGTTCTACTAATCTTTAGGGGGATCGAGACCATGTAGCATGGTAAAACTCATAAGGGAAGCAGGTCTTGTCAGCTATTTAAACATGAGATAGTCATGCAGAGATGTAGTTTTGAATATGCTCACTCTGAGGCTTTACCACAGTCTGCTTTTAGTGAAAGATGCAGAATTCTGTAGCCTGAAGACAAAACTGTAGCAATATGATTTAGGTGTCTGTCTTAGAGAGCAATAGCACATGTAGTCTGGTTTGTTTACCACAAGCATTTCAAATGCCATGTTATTCTGACACACTGTGCCTCATTTATAAAACTCCTCATATTCTTCATCAAGTATGTTAAGTTGCACGTGTTTCACTTTGATTTTGAAAATCTGCCCTAGGAAACAGCAAAGAAAAGGGGAAAAAAGAGCAATTTTTATCAGTTGCTTTGTGGATATGAATGTTTAGAACCATTTTCATTCCAGGACAAATCACAGGACACTGAAAGTATCAGTAAGTGACTGGTCTGGGATTAATTGATCAGATCAACTTCTTATGGACCAAATGCTTCTGGAATATGATCCCACTTCCTCATCAAGGCTTGCTGTTCTGTTTCCTGATTTAAACGGTTTGGGCTGCCTTGTCAGGGAGGAGGCACATGAAGTTTAGATTAAAGGAAATTCCAATCTCTTTGGTAAGGAATTTAAGCCAGTAATGGCTATGGGTTTGCACAACACTTGAAAGGAGGCGTTTTGGGTTTTTTTGTTTGTTTGTTTGTTTTTGGGGTTTTTTTTTGTTTTGTTTTTTTTTTAATTTAATGTGTCACATGTTTCATAGCTGAAGTAGTTTCTTGCAGGAATGAAAATTTTAACTAGGAAGAATAAAAGAGTTCATGAGGAGATGTACAAAGGCTGGAGAAATTAAATTCAGGAAAGCTGGGGGATTCTGGAGTCAGGGAAAATGAGTCCTCACTCCATTACAGCATCCATTATTTATGAGAATTACAGAAAGTACAGTGAATTCTGTCAACTGCAGGTTCCTGTATCTACAGGAATAATTTTGGTCATAGTGAAAGATAGAGCCTTATGACTTCAGACCACATACTCAGTTCACAAAGGCATGAAATGCTGGAGAGGATCTTTGCTGAGTTTGGAAACTCCTACTATGAGTTTCTGGTTTTCCTTCAGTATCTGCTACATCTCAAGAGCCTCACAGACCTCCAACACCTGAGTGCAGCAGTGAGCTTGTGCAATAATAGACAGAAACCAAGATTTGTTCAGCTTTGCCACTTTCTAAATATGAGAATAAACTAATTTAAACTAATGGATAAACATTTAAACTAAAAATTAACTTTTAAATGAACAGATTAACTAACTTTTCGACTATCACCCCAGTTTCCATCTGCAGTGTTTATTTATATCTCTTTCTACTTATTTTAGTAACTCTGTGTGAAAAATGGAAATCATAAAAGCTAAGTAAATCACTTAATAAATTTCAATCTATTATCTCACTTTATTATTTGAAAAAGAGTAAATTTGTTTAGTTGATTTTTTTCATTTTTGACAAATATAATTATCACTTTAATCCAAATATAAGACCAGCAAAAATCTACAAGTTTCTCTTCCATACAAGAACAGTCAAATCTCTGTTAGGCACCAGCTGATAGTAACATTGTAAAAAGACAGCTGGCTGAGTGAGGAAGTGATGTTAGAAGGAGGAAATTCTTCAGAGAATTGTTTCTGCTCTGAAAGTGCTGTCTGACAGATTGTAAGAATGCAGTGAATGGCTGTTCTATGTATTAAATACCTGGGATATATGAGCCACTGTCTGCCTCTGCTTTCTCTTTACAGATACAATCTTAGAATGGTTTTACATGTTTGCAACCAGAATATCTCAAAACGTGAGCAATGAACACGGCCTGGTTACTCAGATGCACTGGTGGAGTGTTTAGATATGCCCTCCCCAGCCACTTTTCCACGGGTTCTAGAAGCAGAGTTTCAGAGGGCCCGTAGGCGACCTCTACTACGTGCTCATTTATTAGCACATTAATGGCTTGTAGAAGCAGCTCTGGTCAAAGCAGGCAGCTTGGTCCTGAAAGTGGGAACTGCTGGAAGAAGAGAAAAGGCAATGGAAAGCTCTGAACCTGACATGTTCTGGAGTGATTTGTGGTGGAAAGAAAGCACTGATACTTTTTTTAGGCCACAGTGTTGTAGAATTCTGTATATTCCTTCTTCTCAGTCAAAACCTACAAATGCAATTCTTAATATAGCAGTGATATCTTGGTACTCCATTGAAGTGAGGAATTAAACTCTTGTGGAAGTCAATAAACCCAAGAGTGTGCCCTGCATCTTTATGGTAAATACTAGGGACAATACTACCAGCATATGAATTTTGGAGACAAGAATGATCAACAAATTACTGCAGTTACTAAGGAACTCTGCATTCACTATTTAACACAGCTATGCCATTTGTACATCACAGAAGTCTTTGGAAAACCTGCTTTGCTAGGAGTTGTATGATTTTCCTGCCAGCTACATTTCTGAGTGGATTATTGATCTGTACCATTAGTGGACTCATACCAAGGCTGCTAGCACAAGGTTTAAACCTTTCTACAAGTGTGTGGGGACCACGAGGAGTGAAAGCACTGCTGATTACCTCAATGCATACCAGGAAATTCTGTAGTGTTTGCATGCTTGGGTTACACTGATAAATTCTCAAAGTATTACTCTGCCCAGTCTGAATGCACACACATGGGTACAGGAAACATCCTGAGTCACACAGGTGCTTCTTGAAAGGAATCCCCAACCAACCCAGTCTTTTACAATGTTTACCTTGCTGCTTTTGTCAAGTTTCCAGGTTTGCCAAGGTGATCACCTTCATGGAATTCAGGTTTTTGCAGGAGCAGGCTCAGCCTATTTCTCTTCTGCTTGGCTCTATAACAGAATTGGAGTAGGTTTTCAAGAAATATTGTAGAAAGTTGGTTTTTCCCTCTCAAGCATTCTTAGCTTCTGCGTTACAGAGCTCCCTATTTTCACTTACAGTAATGTTGGTGTTACTTCTACATATATTATTCACATGAATGTTTTCTTCCTCATAGCTTAGCACAAATTTAGCAGTGGCAAAGAAAAATTGAAATCCTTCAATTTTCAGCATCCTTTAATTTATTTTAAAGATGAGGGGCCAAACTTCCCATAAACAGTTGGCTCAACCTCTTCCTCTTTTAATGTTTTGCAAAGAAAAAAGGAAGTATTGCTTCCTGTCATTTGAAATTTTTGAAAAAACCTTTCCCAAATCATATTCAGGCTTTAGAGAAGCATTTCTCAGAACTTCTTGCAACCTCTCTTTCTTAGTATTTTTAAATAATTAATTTGGTTTGTTTCTTGTCTTCAAAAAAGAATGAGAGTTCTTTGAGATAACTCTTCTTAAATAGTTAATATTTTACACATACAATCTCTAGGATTGCAGTTCATGAGTTCTCATATACATGTCAAAAATGAAATTAGCTGTGCCCTAAATTCACCCCCACAAACTATGCTAGAAGAATCCTCCATGTAAACACAACACAGAGAGGGTCGGCATGACCTGAACACTTACCCAGGCTTGCTCGCCTTGTGTGGTTCTTCCTTAATCGCTGATTTCATGAGTTTGTAATAGGGTTTATCCTTTGAAGCAGAAATGTTGAGTTGGGGGAATAAAAGAAGTGGGTTCTCCATCTTCCTCTAAAACAGCTTCCAGCAAGGTTCCCTTTGCTCCCTCGCCACTGGTGCACGCTGGCTCTGGCTCTCACATGCTGCAGCAGCCTGCACTGCCCTGGCCAGCCCCAGCCCTGTGTCCAGAGGAGGTGGTGGCAGGAGGTGGCAGCTGTGCCCACGCCGGGCTCTAAGGGCAGCTCTGGCTGTGCCCTCGTCACTTGGGGAAATGACACTGCAGCTCCACAGGGCTCATGCTGCAAGCCGCAGCCCAGAGCGGTGGCTGCTCCGCACAGCTCGGCTCCTGCTCGGGGTAGGGTGACACCAGCCCGTGCTCCCACACATCTGTACATACCCTAGGCTCCTAAAATTGACCTTAATGCTAGTAATGTTGCATGAAATAACACACAGCCTTCTCTTCACCTCGCAGAGGCACCCTATCCACCCTTAAGCTGCTCTCCGCCTCAGTGCCGTGTGCTGCACACAGCTCCATCCACAGCACCCTGACTTCAAACTCAGAGTTTCTAAGCGTCTCCTCCAAACTTTGGCTGATCAATCATTTTGCAAGCAGATATTTTCATTTTTGCACCATTCTTCAGAAATTACAGCCACTCACTTCTAATTTCCTGTTTGTCCACTACATGCACCCTCTTTCACTTCTCTGTCTGTGAATTTATTTTTACTTGCAATCTCCCACCAAGGATAGAATGTCTTTAGTTCAGAAAAAAAAATTATTTTTTTTTAAATTTTATTTTGTTACTAAATAACCCAAAACTTCTCATTTCAGTTTGCATAAGGTAAAAGTGTATTAATCTTTGAGGTTCATCAGCACAAATTATCTCTTCACATATAAGTCTGATGTCAGTTAAGTTTCTTGGGTTTAAGTTCAGTTTCTGTTGGAGGTGTCACAGGAACAATACATCTCATAAAGAAACACCTTCAGTGTTAGCTGAATGAGGCACCAGAAAGGGTTAGAATTACTGCAGTAGGATTAAGACTCTAATAGTTCTCATGTTTTTAATGGCAGTGTCTCAGTTTGATTTCTCAGGTAGGACACTGAACTTCAAGGAGAAGACATGACCTCATTACCTCCCATAATTTTATTGTGTTTTACTTACATGGGTACTTCTGGTGAGAGTTCCACTGCGGTGTTTTTCCTGTGGATTTGGAGAGGATGGGAATGGGAGATACTAATATTCAAAAGAAAATTTTAAAAACCAGTTCTGATAGGAATGCAAATTTGTGAAACATTAAAAGAAGAATAAGATGTAATCTATTGTGATTTTTTATAAAGAGTTAACTGAAAAACTCTCATGGGCCACATGCATGATGCAAATTTTAAAATCAGACTGAATAAGAAACAATGCACAACTGCCTTTTGTAACCCAAGGGACTTCAGGAAGCAGGGTTACAGTTTAAATCTAATTTTCAATTTCAGAGAAGGCTTATGCATAATATCATGCATATTTTAAACTGACTTTAACCGCAGCTGTGTTTAATAATTTATTCTGCCTTTTAGAGATAAGTAAATAAATACAGACGGCATGATTTTATTCCACTTTTCTCTAATAGTGGTGGTCACATGAGCTTTTTTTTTTACGTGCTATGTGTATAAAAGATTGTCTGTGCATGTTTGCCATAATTTTTTTACCTGCTGATTTCATCTTTCCAGAAAATATTTGTAATTGTAGCCTCCACAGTTTATCTAAGCTAATTTAAGAAAAATTTGGAGCATGGAATATAATTCAGAAGTGAATTATGAGGGCCCACTGTGCCAGGCAGCTTCTAAATGGGAATGAGTAGCTGTGTCCCCTCTTTCAGCACCCACCAGCCAAGGTCTGAAGGGCCTGTCCAACTCACTCTTTGAGTGAAACCTAAATGGGGTTTATGCCTTAGATTATTGAATTATTCTTGTACTACACTGCAAGCACTTGTATCAGTCCTGACTGCAGCAGTGTGCTGTGCACCTCTTGACCTGAGAATTCACTTGGAAATCTGGAGGAGTGTGGAAAGGGGGGGAATAATCACAAACAATCTTTCCCCCACTCACCCACATCTCCCCCCTTCCCCCCCCCCCCCCCCCCCCCCCCCATTTATAGAAAGCTTACACTAAATCTAGGCCATGAAGTAGCCAAATTGCCTCCAGGTCAGTCTGTGTTTTGTCAGCAATGCTGCTGGTGCTAATGAGCATCCTGTTTCGAATGTAACAGTATTAATGACCCTGTAAATGCTTCTGGGCCATTTTGGGTGCTGCAAGATGACAATACAGGAAAATGAGTAAGTGATTTTAAAACCAGATAAAGCAGACCCTGAATATTATGCTGATGACATGACTAGTGATGACTACTGATTTTTAAGCCCTCAAATCAAGATTCTCTCTGCAATGTGAGAACAATATTGAGTTAAAGTTCTATTACTTACAGAAATAAATTTTTAATGGTTAGATGAACACTAAATGTATTTTCATAACAATATTCTTGTGACACAACAGTAAAATTAAATAGAGCATAAAGTGCAGGATGATGGGGTGATGCCCTGATCCTTTGGGCCTTCCTGTTCTTTGCTGAAAAGTGTCTGCGCTGGCTTCTGTTGGTGTTTGATAACGTCCTGTCACAGCTGATGATCAGATCATGCTTTATTTGTACAGACACAATAGCTGCCCTCCGTGAAAGAAATATTGACTGACAGTGTTAGCAACAAGGCCATTGTATTGTACACTGAGAATGTCATGCTTCTTTTTTACAGGGAGTCTCTGAGAGATTCAACCTTTCAGTCCAGCTGAATAGAAGTGCAGCCCTGACTGAGCAGTTCAGCTCAGCACAAGGAGCTGGGGCACAATTGGAAAACCTCCTTTGTCAGTAATCCCACAGCATCTCTCTCCAAAGCTGTTTTCCTTAGTTCTCAGGTAAATGCAAACTTTGTCTCCTCCATTTCCTTTCTCATGTTCTGGCACTGCCCAGGCTCCTCCATAGCCAAGCTCCAGCACTGTTCTTATTCAAATCCAATCTTACCAGTATTGCTTTTGTTGGGTTAGGTTTCTGCTGAAGGGAAGCAATATTTATGAGAAGAAAAACAAAAAAACCCAAAACCAATAGTGTTTTTACTGTTTCTTCTTACAAGAAGAAATAAGCATGGAAAGAAACTTCACTGAAGAGCATGGGCTGAAAACATTAATTTCCATATTTTGTTTTCATGTAAAGACATTTGAAGACTTGAAAATTAAAATTAAGTGTTTTAAACTAATTTGGTTTTAATTAATAATCCTGCTCTTCAGTCACTTCTGACCAATTTATTACTCCTCAATATTTATGTTGTTTATTCTTCATTGGAAATCATAATTGGACATGAAATTTAATAATAATATGATCAAAGTTATGGTTGTTTTTTTTTTATCTCTTCCCCATGAAGCAAATCCAGAAGGAAGAGTTGTATTGGAAACGTTGAGTACAGGATCTTGCTGTCTGCTAATTCAGGGAATTTGTTTACTGGCGCCCTTAAAAGATGCAGTCCAGGGGAGGGGGTTGGTGTGTGGGATTCTTCAGTTAGAAAAGGAGAATCATTGTGATGCCTCCACACAGCTCACGTTGAAAAAAGTGCTTTTCTCCTTTGTTGTTGCTGTTTAAAAGGAAGGAAACAAAACTGTGCTCTTTCAGATATGAAACACTGACAACAGGAACATAACACTTTGCTTTTGGGGTCTGCTAGTCAGGCTTCGAAAAGGATTTTTTAAGCCATCCCTGATGGAAATCCAAGCGTGGGAGTCTTTATAGCTTCATCAGAACTTCTGCCGGGGAAAGTGTTTACATCCACACTAAACGGAATTAATTTATTTGGTCTTTTGAAAGGTCAGAATAAGAAAGTGAGTCTGCAAAGTTCTCAGCTGTATTCATTTCCTGCCTGGCCCGTGGTTCCCGGCCGGCATCTCTGATTAGCGCTGTTTACAAGTGACATACATCACTGTCACCATTAATCTTAAGGCAGTCGTTTCCTCGGCTGAGCCCGGCGGTGTTTGCAGCCAGCTCTGACATCAGTGCTCATTAGACAATGGCGTGTTAATGACCAGCTCCCGGAAAGGATCACCTTCCACACTCACAGGACTCTTTTAAAATGTGGTTTTTTTTCATGGTGTTGTTCACCGGAAATGCTGAAGGCGGGAATGTTCTCTAAATCCTGCCCAAAATACCCTTCCTACTGGAGTTCTGCACTACTGGATTTATTTCTGTCTTACAGAAACCCAGAAGGACTCTTCATATGACAACTTTGTCTTGGGGATTTTTTTAGTTTGTTTTTTTGGGTTTTTTTTAAGACAGATTTTATCAACCCACAGCAATGGAGCAAACAGAGGCAGGTATTAGGCTGAGAGTTTTCTGGTCCTTCTGGGAAAGGTGTGGGACTGTTGCTTGGTCATGCACAAGAGGACTGTAATTCCTAATCCACTGACTATTAACTGTAATATCAAACTCCCTACAGAACACAAGGGAATAAAATCCATGTTGCATCCAGGACTAAGTCTGCTATCACTGAACCACTGGGTGGTTTAAGCAGAGCCAGCATGCTTAATGCCAGGCGTGTCCTTACTCTGCTTTTCCAGTCAGAGTATCAGGAATATCTCAGGATGCTGCAGCCCAGGCTGAACTACCAGGGCAGGCAGTGTCCAACCACCGCAGTAATTCTGCAGTATTTTTTTCCAGCTTATAGTTTATTATATTTTATTGTTACTTCTTCCTGATAACACTTTGTTCTTGCATCCTGATTTAGCTAAGACAAATAGTCCAAGGAATTACAAAGTGGTATGGTGAATTTCCCATCAGAGCAGTAAAAAACTGGTACCCAAAAACCTTAAAAATATATAGCTAAATTTCCATATGAATATGTAAATATATTATTTTCAAAGTCTGTCAAAGGAAGAGAGCATCTGAAGATATAAAATCTACATGTCCTCTGATCTTTCTCTTCAGTAATTGCCCAAAGATGTTCATAATGAAAATTAGGTAAAAATAATAATGTTACATCACATTTCAGTGCAATCTTCAGAATG